TATATTCTGAAAGAGAACAGGACTAGAAAGAAACCAAGAGCTCCAGTACCAGATCAGGGGCTGATTCTCAAAAGAAAAAAAAATATTTTCTGATTCAAATTCAAATTCTTGCAGCAATTATTTAAAAAATGTATTTCATAGCCAGAGAAAAATATGAATAACAGCTCAATTTTGTGCTCTCTGTGCTCAATGCATAAGACATTTTTAATTTAAATTTGTCACAACCCTTACAACCAGTCACTCACTTGATTCTACACTCCTCACTTGAAGCTTGTAATATTAGAGCAAGTTGTACACTATGCTCACAATAATTTGTGAAATGGCATATTTGGTGAGGGTATTTGCCATTAGCTCTTCTCTAAAATAAAAGGTCCTTCAGAATTTTCATCTTCCTAATTTAATGTTTAATGGTCTGATTAATAAACACAACTCAGTAACATGCAAGATAGTACAATATTATAGCATGAACAAAATCCCTAGGAAGCATCTGGATTTTACTAAAACAAGACTAATACAAGAGCAATGAGAGGAAGGAGTCCTGGAAATTAATTACTTAATTCAATTCAGCCTTAAAAAAAAAAGAACATTACTATTCTAAGTTCCCCCTTGTCACTTTGGTTTTCAAATAAAATTTTAGTTAAGAAATCTGTACTTATGGTAACACAAAAACATAACTGCACCACACATTAAAAGTTTGTCTTTTGCAACTACATCATTCAGACAGCTAACCTCAATGGATACAGACATTTCCTAGAAATACAATTAAGCATAAAAAAATACAGAAGATAATACAGTAATCATGCTTATCTAGGTTAAGTTTAGCAGGTTTTTTGTACTCAGTTTCATATACACAAAAGGGAAAGTCACTTGCATTTGGCTTACTAAGCTAAAAAGACAATCTAGCTGAAAAGATATTCTTGAAAATAACTGAGACAACAGTATTATGGCTACTGTGGTATGGGCCTGTTTGTATCAAAAAATCTATGACATCAGAGCAACAATAATTTTAATTCTCAAAATCCTGTTTCATACACAGTTATGAACTGTTTCATTCTACATGGAGACTTAAAACCATTCAGAAATACAAACAATTTTACTTAGGCAAATATAAAAAAACTAAGATAGCTCAACATTTAACTATTCACAAACCTCCACACTTGGCAAACAAAAACCCACCGTGCCTGTAGCTCAAGCAAGGAAAGGATGTGCTAATTGAATGAAGTAATGGAAGTCTGATGAAGTAAAGAAATAATGAAAAGCCTTCTTCAAAGGTATGAAAAGGAGGGTAAAACATGATGCTGAACAGTCTTCCTTTAGCACTAATGAAAATGAGAGGGAAGACAATTGTACTGATTGAGTCTTAATGATACAAGTACCACTTCAAACTGCTTGGGAAACACGTATATGAAGGAATACAGGAGCGATGTGGGGACACACTTGTATCACTGATGGGAATGCTGATGCACACCAATGGCAGCCATCACTAGCCCAGTAGTGCTAAGTTCACAGATCTGACTGCAGTCAGGAAAACATCATCTGTGACAGAAAATACTGCACTTGAAATAAAATGATTATCATGCCTCCACCTGATCTAGTGTGGAACTTAACAGCTCACATTTTAAAAGTGAGAAAACCCCCAAAATACTAGCCCCTTGTTGCTGGCTGAAACCAGCACCCCAGAAGCAGAGAATTCAGGTTGCAGTGAGTGCTTCCTTAGAAGCCTACGTAAAATCGGTGCGTGCATTCCACATGCTCTTCACCGCAGGGACAGCCACAGCAGGAGGTGAGTTTCAAAAGCAAATGAGTGCTGAAAACCTCCAGTGAAAAATTCATTTGTGAACAGTTATATGGCTGTTTTGTTCAATCTGCTTCCAGATAACACAAAACTACACTGTTTATGACAATCTTGTCGTTTCATCAAAGCAAATTCTCTTTTCCCAACAAGTATCCTTTGTTCAACAGAACTGTTAATTAAAAGTAGTTATGTGACTCAGAAATGAAACTAAATGGGAATTAAAAGTGTATTTCAGAGGGAACTGTATGACTCTAACAAAACTCAGACATCTGTCACTGCCCAGAAGTAAATTCTTTATCAGCTGTCATGGGCAGCAAGCAGAACTGAACAAAACATCAGATGACAACAGATGCATTTTCACGTTTTAATACTTAAACTGAGACCTGCCCCAGCTCCAGAACTGCCCCAAGGCAGACTCCAGCTTACTGCTGCTGTTGAGGCTAGAAGGCAGCTGGGGCTATGCTGCAGCATCACTGGGGTCTGAGCTGCCCCAATTTTGGTCCCCTCAATACCCAGGTCTTACTCTGGGAGCTCTTTGCTTGTACCTGACTAGAGACCAGGCTAGGGGAGAAATGAAGAAGAAAACTAGGTCATTTATGCATTTAAAATGACATTTTTGTTTCTGCTTAAAACCTGCTGTTGTCCTTCCAGGAATGCATAAACTCTAGCCAAGTATTTTCTTAACATGAACACAGGCCAAATTCCAGAGATTACATATTCAACAAAAAGAAATACATTGAGAGTGTAGCAGCACAGGATTTTTCTCAGATGCTAACATAAAGACTACACGAATAAAAACAAAAATAGAAGAGATTTCTGTCTCTTAACAGAAATTCACTTGGATATTTCAGAAAGTGGTTCCTTTCAATAAGTTCTTATGCTTTTTTATGTCTGTCCTGCATAACACTTGTTGCAGCATGCCAGGGAAGTACAGCTATGAAGTATGAATGAAGGCGCCTTCTTCAAGTCCAGTTACCTCCCACTTCAACAATTTTAAAGCACATTTCGATGGCTAATGCATTGCTGGACACCCCAGCCATCACAGATAAATATTCTGTGTGCATACTGACCAGAGGAAAGGCATAATAAGATGATGACAAACATGATATAGCAGTGGTAAATGAACGACAACAACAAAAGCAAACAAACAAACAAAAAATTCCAGTGCTCACAACAGGGATTCATCACAGCCTTTAACTGAATTTACTCAAAGACATTTTTTATTTTTTGCCCTTTAAAAAGGAAATAAACAAAACAAATGCTTCAAAGCACAGATAGTTCTACAATTAAAGAAATGATACCTATAGATCAGCATGACCTGTGTGGAACTGAAAACAAAACTCAGTACTACTGAGCATTCCTTTGTGGGTCTGGAAGCAGATTATCCACCAATCTCCCCAAATGAAAATTATTTCTGAGCTAGAATTAGCAGGACAAAAACTAATGCACCAAAATAGGATTATTCTAGTCATGCTGGATATACATAGAAGCATAGAGTATCCTGAGTTGGAAAGGACTCACCAGAACAATCAAATCCAACTTCTGGCCCTGCACGGGACACCTCCACAGTCATACCGTGTGCCTGAGGGCACTGTCCAAATGCTTCTTGAACTCACAGCTGGTGCCATGACCACTTCCCCTGGGAGCCTGTTCCACTTCCCAACCCCCTGAGTGAAGAAACTTTTCCTGATATCCAGCCTCAACCTCTCCTGACAACTTCAGGCCATTCCCTCAAGTCCTGTCACTGGTCAGCACAGAGAAGAGATCAGTGCCTGCCCCTCCTCTTCCCCTCACGAGGGAGTTGATGCCTCCCCTCAGTCTCCTCTCCTCCAGGCTGCTGGAGTGATCTCCAGCAGCTCCACATAAGGCCTCAACTCCAGACCCTTCACCATCTTTGTTGCCCCCTCCTTTGGACACTCTCTAGTGGTTTAATGTCTTTCTTATATGGTGGTACCCAAAACTGCACAGTTTGTTAACTTCCCCAAAAGAAACCAGTTTGTGACTTTCAAAATGAACCATTGCAAAAGCAAGATGTCAATTTTCATTCACAGAACGACTTCTTTAAGAATTTACATTCTTCTTTCATTTGTGTTCCAAGTGAAATTTAAACCCAAGTTTATTTCTGTCCAGTTTCCTCCCAGTTATACTTGTTATCTGGATTCCAAGAAGATTTGTTGCAGTAGAAAATGTGCACTTGGCTCTGTTTGCGGTTTTATTTTGATGTATAACAAAATCAAAATTGGAGGCACCAGATCCCTCAACAGAAACAAAGATAAGGAATTACTCCTCTGTGTAAGGCAAAAAAAAAAAGTTTATTCCTATTGAGTTTCAGGGATCAGCACACATAGCAAGACTCTTGAATTCTCTCTAGTGTTTGCACAAAACAAGTCCCATATAGCAAGAGGTAAAACTTTTTAACTCCAAGAACCACATTAGAGAGTCCACTTAAACATTCCTTGACACAGCCAAACCTTGGCTTTCTTCTGAAGCATAGCATGCCCGTGTTTAAGCTGGTCCTTGAGTCAGATGATTGGTGTGCAGCACACAAACCTCTGATCTGGTTCAAGGACACTGCTGAAGCACAGCCATGCTGGGTGACTGCTGCCCTGAACAAACAGCTCCTCTTCCCACTTGAAGGCAAGAGGCACACTTGAAGGGTAACGCTGAAAAGTCATTTTCTTTCAGTTCACTCCAGTTACTATTCTATATTTTCTTTCTCTACCCTCAACATGCACCCATGTCAAAAGAAATGACTTTTTTTTTCTGATTGTTCTCACGCATATGTTAGACCTTAACATCAAAAATGTTTGCTTTCTTTCTCCCAGTTTAAACATTAAGGGTTTTCTTCCTGCTTCTGAACTACAAAAAGCAAGTAGTAATAAAAATCAATTAAACTGTAGCTACTGATGAGAGTTGTCTAAATAGCCAGACTAGTTATAAACAGTCAGTGATGACAGACTACCATATGCTATGCTTCCCATTACTGTGCCAGAAAACATTATAATCACCTTGATTATAGAAACAGTGATTTTTTTCCCCTCAGTGGCGATACAGCACAAGCAAGTGCACAAGCAGAACTCCTGCTCTGCAGTGCATTACTGTCTGCAGCATATGAACACATTGCCAAGCATTTCTGCAAACAGATCGAGTCGCCAAGCACACAGCTAACCTGAATGGTCTCAGAAGTAATGAAAGTGAACTCTACCTTGTGTGCTTTGCTGAAATATTTTGTTCAGATCCAATGAGGAAGCTCTGGAATGTGATTTTTGTGGCCTTGGAGGTGGAGTAGGGGGCTCTTCTCCCTTTTTCATGGCATCTTCTATTGATGTGCTAGAATAAGACCTAAGAAAAAAACATGTTGGAGAAAAGCAGAAAATATTTTATTTCAAAAATTAATTTTAAACAACTATAGTGAATAGAATAATGAACCTAAACCAGAAGTCAGGTTCACAGTGGAAATTCCTTGCCCTAATGACTAAGAGTTCCCTCTTATAACAGCACAGATTTGTTTGGCAACAGAACATGTGGAGAAAGGAACAAGTCATGCTTACAGGGCTAGTATTTTTTAAGGCTTTTTGTAACACAGCTTGAGGCCTTCTTATGTAACTTTGCCAGCAGGATAATTGTCGCAACTATTTTGAATAAACCAAAGAAAAATTCCCCACATATAGCCCTTGGATTTTCTGTTGCCTTTCCCAACTGCAAGGGTAGCGTTTATACAGATATAGATTCAATCTACCTCTTGCAAGTAAACATTTCGTAATCTGTAATATTCTCACTAGTAGAATAAAATTTTAATTATTAGAATAAATTTTCCATAGGAAACATTCACCAAATTCCACAAAATCCAGAAAAATTGAATGGCTCCAAAGTGACTACTCAAATGCATGGCTCAGCTCCTCTTTCTAGGCCCTCCTACAGCACATTAATCCCAACGTGGTGTGGTGCATTCGCTAAGAATTTTGATTTTGCCAAATACTGTCCAATTTTTTCAGCTGTTGTAGTTATCAGTTTAGGACAACCAAGACCAAGCAAGACCAAGACTCTGCTCAAAATGAGCATTGGCAACATGAGATGTTAGACTTACTGTAAAACACTCTGCATGTCAGGGAAGACCAAAAGCACATTTGACCATTTTTTTTTGCCAAACAGGTTCCTAACACCCAGTGCCAGCTGTCCAATTAAGAGCATTTTGAGCAACATCCTATTACCCTCAGTCTCCAGGTCCAAGTTTGTTCATTTATGAGCCACTTCATAAAACCACTCATAAAAAGTTAATGGAGATTCTCTGTCTCCCTGCTTTACCTCATACAACTTCGCAAGACTCCTAGGTTTTTCCACTCCATTATGATTTCCATATAAAATCAACATTGTTACTCCTTTTAATCCAACATCTTAATTCAAATCTCATTCAAGATCTTCTTTAGGGAGAAGTTCAGGATTTGGGATCCTGATACCATGGCTTTCTGATCTAGCTCCTCAACTTTTCTCCTGCTCAGTCCTTCCTCTGCTTCTTCTAGAACTACTCTTTTTTAATTCATAAAAAGCAAATTTCTAACCAAACTTATGTATTTCCCCAGCTGGGGTTATGTGGCATCATCACAGATTTAGTAATGCTATGCATATCATTTGGATTGTCACCATGAGACACAACATCCTTTTTCCAAGTCAATAAATCACAGATAGTAAAGAGTACATGCACATAGACGACTTTCCCAGCAGTCCCACAATTCCTCTTAAAGGAACCTGAAACACTGATTTACTCCATCTTCTTGTCCTGGTTCTACTAGAGACAAGACTTCCTCATTTATTTCTTTCTCTAACAGAACTGTCAGAGTCCTCCTTACCCTTTGTATCAGAATTTTTAGGACCCACCAGAGGAGCCACCAGAAATTCTACTTGTTCATTATCACCACCAAGTTTATCAGATTTACTTTCCACATCACAAATTCTTTCACTGTTCTTATTTGCTTCCCCAGTTACTGAATATATTCCAACCTGGTTTTGAAGTCTATTAGTACACATTTTTTTCCTAACATCCCAATCATTCCTTAAAGAGAAAAATAAATCCCCCGATGGTATTTCATCCTATTTCCAACAAGCACAGCAGGTCTGAGTTCAAGGATGTGCTCAAGCATCTTTAGTCTCAAGTTCTGCATTGAAGCGGTGACATACAGTCAGATGTGAGACAGCCACATGTGACAGAGCAGTCACATTCAAATGACTTGTTTGGACCTTGTTTAAGCATTTGTTGTTCTATGTATTTGTGCACATTTTTTGCATATTTGCAATTTAGTAACACAGCAAGAAAATTTAAAAATTTAAAACTCTGCAGAAACTAAAAAGCTTTGGCTAGCAGCAGAAAAACAGCAGACAAGGCAGTTCAGCCTTCCCGAATATAGGTCCTAAGAACAGAGGATTTCCATCCTCAATCACCATGCTTATAGCTGATCCTCTCTTACTAGCAGGCTTTGACAAGCCTGTAAGCAGACAGCTTCTGATTATACTCTCATTACCCAAGCAAAAATATCCCAAGCAGAGTCCTCTAACTAGCACCAAAAATGAAAAGGTGAATTAACAACATGGCTATACACCAGTAGGTGACAACCAACTCAAGATGGAATCCATTTATATACAATGTTTTCTGGCACTGGTTTCCCTTTTCTTTCAAACACCCAAATTCAGCAGGTGTCACATCTAGCACACAACAGTACTGAAGTCCTTCCACCATGCACCAACCAACCACAGCCAAGCACATGGATGCCAATGAAAGGATTCACTCACCCACACCTGAGAGCTGAGCTACTACTGCTGTTTCCGTGGGAATGTGCAGTGTCTCCCTCCACTTGAAATCACTGTGCAGGTTGTAAGAGCACAGAATTGCTGAGGATGTTCCCTGCCATGGGGCTGTCCCAGCTGCCCTGCCACGACGCCCCTGGGGCTGGGCTGGAGGCAGTCACTACCCTGGCAATGCAGCAGGGCTGGGCAGACAGGCAAAACTTCCAGCACCTTATGACCAGAGATCATGGGGCCCCAGCACAGTATTTATGTAGGGTCTATAGCTTACAGATTCCTCCTGGTAAATCTGTCTGATCTGAGCTGTACTTCCAGCACAACATCAATTAAAAAAAAAAAAATCCAACACCAGTTCTGATGCCTTGTGTCTAACACTGAAGGAATATATGCCTTTTCCCAAAACAGGAATGAAAGCAGTACCTGGATCGTGGTCTGGCTCTGAGTGCATTAGGTTCTTGAGCAGCTGGAATAGAAAAGAAAAAAGAACTGCTAAAATACTGTGTTTTAAATAAATGTCTTTAGCTTCAGAATCAGTGTCCATCAAACATGTGAGTGTTGCAAATGTGGATGTGAGAGTATACTCATCTCACATGAGCAATGGGGATTGGTTTTCACTTCTCCTTCCCCTTTGTTTTTTGCAGTGTGTGAATGTCCTAAGAATTCAAAAGCAACACGTAGTGAGAGCTTCACATTTTTAATTTGGTTACCAGAACACAGGAAGAGCAATAGGTCTGGTTAGCTGTCACCTGTAGTCATGGATGTAGTTGTGATAAAGCAATGTAAGGAACAACATAAACTTTTTATAGAAAACATCTTGTTCTTAGTCCAGGTATCTATTACTTATCCTGCTTCCAAAAGCACAAAGGTTTATGTCCTTCCTAAATACTTTAACTGATTAGTATAAATGTACGTCACCCATTACAAAATATTAACATGTCATGTTGAGACTGTTCTGACCTTGGGAAGGAAAGGTGTTTAAAGGAAAAAAGCTTTTAAGTCTACATGTTGATCAAACACATTTCCATTAAAATGGGTTTATGGTATTTGGATGAATTCCAAATATCCTGCCACACGCAGGTTTTATGTGATAGGAAAACAACATTGCTGAATTATCATCTATGGGTAATTCCTCGAGGCTGTTCCTTGGTTTACATTGTCTTCTCTGTTACTCTCCTCACTAGTATCAGATAATTTTGAGAAAACATATCTGCATGATTGCTTTCAAATTCATCCCACTGAGATATCCTCAAGGTATTACAGCAGCATCAATGATCCCAGTGCACGTACAAAGTGAATTCTTGTCTTTTTCCCAGTCTACTAATCAAGGCACAACACTCAAGAGAAACAAGTAGGATGGAGAAAAAATATAATTGTCAGAATTTCTAGCTTCCTTCAGACATATGCCTACTTTCAAGTCAGACATTCATCACCAGCTACTACAGAGCACTACCTGAGAATACAACAGATCCTCCAAACCACCGAGCAGGAGCTGCCTGTGGCAGCAGCTGGCAAATATGGAGTTTTTAATGGCTTGCACTGTACTACTGCACAGACCCTCCATAGGAGGCTTTAGGCTCACAGAAGACAAGTAACAGCATAGGGCACATGTACAGCCACACACTGGCTCTTCATAAAAGAAACTGCTTTTTGGATCATGCAGAGCTAGTTGGTGTTTTGCATAGAATAAACCCTACTGCAGCTGGCAGTGACCACTTATAAACCAAGTTCTAGTAGATTGTCATCCCCAAACTGGTTCACAGCCATTCCAGATTTCTCTGCAACAAACTCTTCCTAGCAACTAAAGAAGGGAGAGGGAATTAATATTAAAATATGCAGTGGTGATAATCCTCCTCCCTCTCTCTGTGTCAAACTCCCAGAGAATACAACTTCAGACACTGCTTCCCTACAGCCATATGACCCAATTTTCCAATGCTGAAATTGCTGATTATTAAATTACATGCACAATTATTAAATACGCCACTTAGAAATAGGAAGTATAAATCCTTTCCAAGCTAAACCATGTTTAAGAATCTTCAAATTTTCCTTTTCTTATGGAGACTGTAATTCTATTCATACTTCTTTTAGAAAGCCTTTCATATAAAAAAAACCCCGTAGGTAAAACTGACATTCAAACTCTCCAAGGACATCCCGTTGAGGTAAACAGGAAATCACATACGGAAGAGAGAATTCTGAAATGACTACTAACAAAAATGATAGAAATAGAATGCTACTGCCAAGGATTTTCTTTTTAAGTTTTTGAAAAACTAGGAAATTCAAGGCTACAATTACAGAATACCCAGACTTAGCTTTTCTTTCACAAGAAGTAGTATAATACAAAAGGCACTATGAAGCAGGTAGTTCATTATTAGGACATACAAATAATTGTGGCTGGATTTCTACAAAACGTGCAGCTATTCTGGTATGTTCAGTCTGTGCACACTTCATGTCTGAGGTGCAGGTTTATACAAATACATGACAAAATCATTCAAGATGATACAAAACTATTTATCCAGTTCACAAATTTTCCATATTTCTATGGTTACACAATCCTAACTTTCATGAAATGGATAAATTAAACCTGTTGAGTAAATAATTTACATTGGTTATCCAAAAGTTTGTACAATTCCTGGAGTAACAGAGACTGACAGACTGTGAAGCTTAGTCTGCAGTAATTAAAGAGGGTGTGACAGTTCCTATTTTGGGTGTAGAGCTGCTCCTACAGCCCTCTTGCAAGATAACTTCATTTTAACATTCCAAAAGATGCCGATTTGGTAACTTTTGACTATAGCCTAACATCTTACACTCCACAGCTGCCTCCTTGTTTTACAGGCCTAAGATCAGGTGGAAAATGGTGCTGAAAAAGGTGAAAGGCTAAAGAAAAAAAAACAACCATTCCCCACTAGTCAATATCAACCTCAATGATTCATCTCTTATTGGTCATATAGAGAGAAATGTACAATTTAAATGCTTGGAAATTTGGCCCTCAATCCTTTAAAAGCTAAGGTCAACAATGATCCTGCACTTAGAAGTCTAAATAAACTGACCAGATATTCAGAGTGCTGAGCATATAAAGTTGTTACTGATTTCAAACTTCCTTCTGATGGCAAAGAAAACTTTCACAGACTATCATCTTTTCCTGAGTTTTCATAAACAGGCTAAATGAATAACCAAAGAAGCATGTAAAATTTCTCCTGCTTCATCCCAAATGAGTTTCCATGCTGGAGGTTAATGACTACAATGACCTTTCAGAATGGTGACTGATTCTGAAAAAACCACTCCATTACTGTACTGCATCTACTCCACTGGATAGATAAACATTTTCACTTTTCACATCAGTTGCAACCTGAGAATGTGCTGGCTCAAATCCTCAATGTGCAGCACAGCAAGAGTGGAAACCCTGCAGGGACAGGAGCCACGATGATGGAGTGAAATTCTGCCACTGTCCCCCTTGGTATACAAACACAGCAACACTGCTGGAGGAGCACAGCAGCATGGGGAAGACCTCCCTGAGCAGGAGATGAAAGACAGAGATGTGCAGGTGACAATAAGTTTTTTTTTCCTGAATGTACTAAAGACAGAATTGCTGAACTGTGAAAGTAAAACTCCCCCGTGCTCCTGGGGGAAACCCAGAGGGGGAAGGAGAACAGAACAGAAAGTCATGCAGCCACCCTCCCTTTTCCCTGAGAGGGATGTGCAAGAGTGTGTGTGTGTGTGTGTGTGTGTGGAAAGGAGAAGCAGCAATCTTCTGAGAATAGGAGCTGAAGATAGCAAATCTGGCAGCAGCAAAGTGTTTGGGAAGAAGCCAGGAAAAAAAGATTTGGGAAATGAGGCATGCAGCTGTTGAGCAGCCATGAATAAATCGAGCTATAAGGCAAAACTGCTGTGACAGACATGTGGGGTCCATTTTCTTAATCAAGGATATCTTCATGAGTAAAAACATTCATGCAAAAGGAAGAGTAAGCAAGATTTTAGGTTGACTGGGACCAGGGAGGGATTACAAACATTCTTACCACTGTAAAAAGAGATTAACAAAGAGGAAGGCAAGGGAGGTCTGATGAAATGAACTGAAGGCAGGGAAAGTTTCTGAAGCAAATAAATAATTTTGACATACGCTGTTCAAAAACCAACATTTTCCAGAATTATAAGAACAAGGAATGAGTGTATGCTGGAGCTGGAAAGGGAAAAATCAGGAGTGGTTTCAACAAAGAAACAAGCCCTGAGTCAAAAGCTTGTGTCAGTATCTTAAGTGCCTCAAGGTCTGTGTTTCCAGAAGGTTCCCTGTCCTCTAACTCCTTGACACAAAATAGGAAAGCTGAGCTTTCACAAAGAAACAGGCCATTTCAGAACAGTTACCAAAACATTACATAGTTACTCTATACTTTAGATGAGGTTTTACCACGAGGTACAATATTCATGCCTTTGCATCTTGTTTGTAGCACAAAACTTCAGAATCTTTAAAATTACTTAAAACATTTTCCACACAGGAAGGGCCCATACACTAACAATGAAGGAAAGAAAACAAGAAAATCTTTTGACAACCTGAAGAGGTAATTAATATTTATCTTACAAATAATAGTCATTATGAAGTAAAAGCTAATAGCAGTAGGAAAATAGTACAAGAGCAAAAAGTTCTTTCAAAAATTAATCAAGTGACACTAATTTAGGCTTACTGTGATACAGAAACACTTGATCAAAATTCTCATGCAAGTAACACATGGCATTTTTTTTTCCTTACCTGCTTTCACAGTCAAGTGCTGAAATTCCTTTGGTATAGTTTTGAGAGTAGTGCTTACTTTAAGAGCTTAAGAAGGAAAAAAAAAGGAAAAGATAATTACTTTAAGTATTTGTGTGGGTAAAATCTAGAATTATCAGGTCTGAGAAAGGAACACCTAAACTGGTATTAGACATTTTATAATACCTAACATACTTGAAAAGTAGCCAAACACCCTCAGAAAACTGAAGCACTCAAGCAAGTAACAATTTCCAAGAGCACAAAAGTCAACAGAAAGAAAGACCTATGCTCAAATTGCCAAATAATCTCAAATTCTGAGAATTTGTGGGGTTGAGTGCTTATTCCCCTTCCACATTCCCCCATGCATCCTTTCCAATGGAGTTTTTAATACACCATAGTGTAGTTTCATGTACTGTAACACTCAGTGTTAAATGTCCACTTGGAATGAAATCTCTCCTGCTCTAGGATGAACCTGCTTTAGCAATAAGGTTGAACCCTTGTGCCCTCCAACCTCATCTGATCTATGATCTGCCTTTATAAAACAAAACATGTTGGAAAAGTTTTGGGTCTTGTAACCCTGTTCAGTTTACATTATCTTCCAAATTTAACTCCATTATAACCTAAGTGAAGTTAATTTACTTGTATACTTTTGAAAATGCAGGAAAATTTGCTTCTACTGTCCTGAACTGCATGTTCTTGACTGCTGGGGAGATCCCCTCAGTCAGGAGAGTGGTCTGTTCTCATGTTTGTCAGAATAGTAATAAAAGGTAGAACAAAAGTATGTGTTCTTTGGCTGAAAAGGTAGCAATCTGTGTCATAAATACAGCCTCCCTGAAGGAGCTCACGTCTCAAAACACATTCCCATGTGACTTAACATGTCAGCTACAAAAATCAAAGTACAGCTTTGTCATCTAGACAGGGAAAAAATATTCCCTTAGTAAAAAGTAAATCTTCCCTAGACATTTCAAAGCAATAACCTTCAAGGTTCAAGTCCTTCTCTCGGTCATTATACATTTTGCAAGAAAACAAACTTTGTCAACAAAACACTGATTTCTTGGAATATGCTGACATGTAAAAATGTTTTACAAACACACAACAACTCTTGACAAACTTTCTTTGAAAAGGGGACACTGGGAATCTGTCAAACTGTCACACCTGAGTGTAGAAGGTGAATCAGGAATGTGGAATACCTGGTCTCACAGCTCTGATGCATTCTTAACGTGTGGACATCTGGGAGGCCAAGATAATTTTATTTTAATTAATACATAATCTGCAGCTCTGAGAATCAGACAACAAAATACCCACAACTCTTTTGTTTCTACAATGGAGGGACAGCAAGTAAGAATTGAGAAACAGAAATATAGAAGGGAAGGAATGGCTCAGTGATGATCCAGTGCCAATTCTGGAAGTCATAGAAGCTACTACAGCAAAAAAGAGAAAGATCACTTCAATTTCACATGACTTGCTGCTGTTGGATGTCAAATTAAATTAATGAATCAAGTCTTTTCAGTCTAATTTGACTAAAACTTTTGCTCTGCAAGAAAATGCAGGGATTGGTTTTTTTTTCAAATAGGAGTCAAACCTGATTTTGAAGTGTTGGTGTTTCTTGCAAAATTGGAAATTGAAAATTTGGCACAGTGTAATCTTTACTCTTAAAAAATTCCTGATAACAATTAAAATTTTATTTAAGAAGTACAACATTAATTGCCTTAGGACTAGACATATTTTAGAAGGTACATTTCATATCATTTGCATATGATAGAACTAATTTTGAAGCAAACCTCTCCATTTATTTGTCTTCAACTCAGTTGCTGTTGAGTTGTCTCTACATCTTTAGCAACACATGGCCATCTTAGAAATTAAACACACCATTGCTTCTGTCACCAAATATAGGGGCTTAGTGAAAACACATATCATTTAATCCCTAATGGAAAAAAAAAATATTTATTTGAATACCTTGTTTGTCATCTTTCTTTCCATCTTGTAACAGGGCAGAGTTATCAGGTACCTCTTCAGCTGATGACTTCTAAAGAAAGAAGATTAAATTACACTGATTGTTACAGCTCCTACCTTTCCACAGTCAAATATTTAAGAATACAGATCAACACAATGGTGACATTTTTTCTTGCACCACAATTTATTTGTTAGATAAAGAATAATAAAGGACCTATAGAAAGACAGTATAACTGTGCTTTTCAAGGTACAGCAGTTCCACACCCAAAATTAGTTAGAGGAGCACTTCAACAGGGAATGACTGAAAGAGATAAGGTCTATATGTAAGGAGAGAATTCTCCCAACAGAGCCATATATGACACCTGTGTAAGGATAGATGGAAGCTTCTCCAGTCTCCATGAGAAAAGTGTCTCTAACCAGAACTGCACCTGCACTGCAGAGCCTCATGGTTATCCTTTAAAGGCTCCTAGCTGATGTGGCTGATCCTTAAACTACTCTTTTCCTTCAACATCCAGTCATAGAAATGGGAAAAACAAATTTCATTAGCAAGTCTGCTGGAGGCCTATTCAGGCCTTTGATAGGAAAACAGGGAATTTCTCCCCAGTCTTATTCCTTCATTTTCTGTTATTTCAGCAGCAACTTAGAGGCATTTATTATTCTTGGAGCTTCTGCTGGAACGAATTCTACCCCCATTATCTGTAAGAACAAGAATACACTCTGCAACCAAATAAAACATTCAAGCAAATGTCAGAAACCCTAAACTTCTCTAAATATTAAGTGATGCTGGTTTGTTGGTTTTTTTCCCCAGGAAGCATGGAAGAGGTTTGACCTGAAAATGTCCTGAAATAAATTTGGCCTAAACAAATGAATTAAGAAACCTAAATTTCATAGGCATTTTTAAAAAAACACAAAAATCTCAAGTCAGTAGTTCAAAAAGGAAAACTCCAGAGTAAAGGTCTGTGAGATTTGTTTTATAATGTTCCTGAGGAATGGGACACCCTAGTACTTCTGAGAAAGCAACAGAGCAAAAATATGGCTTGAGGACTCTGAAAATGTATAAACAAAACATTTCAAAACCATAGCTAGCTCTGACACTCAAGTGAAGAACATGAGACCACAGACCTAACTCAGTGCAGGCTTTAATTGATGAAATGACTTTCAGAAATTTTAATGAACTGTGAGCATGACATTTCTGAGGGAGCCCAGAGGAACCTCAGCCAGTCTTTTTATGCATGTTTTAACTTCAAGATTTTGGCAGTGAGAAAGCTTGCAGAAAAGAACCAAAGGAGAGTGGGAGACAAAAACTTGAGAAAAAACCAAAACTGTGAAGATAAAACTTCCTTGGTAAAGAAAAAAATCAGTCATCCGTGTCATTCCCAAGCACAATATCAGCAGCCTCAGTGCATTTTTTAAGTTTAACAAAACCTAGCATGCAGGTGACGTGTCTCCCACCATTATTTTCTTTATGAATGCATTCAGGAACTGTTTCTATTTTATTGCAGTATTGTAGTTGGGCAGTCACAGTAAAAACAGGCATCTGAAATGAAATTAAATAGCCTGAATAGATGATAGCTGGAAATGAAAAAAGAAATGGAGCTAATGCCTAACAGATTGCATAGATAATATAATATTTTTAATGTAGTGATCAAGTATCTGAAGTATAATTCCTCAGCTAGCCAAGATACAAATGAAAATGCAATAGTGAATTGCTGCACTTCCCACTGAGGGAGATGAATGAAAGATGAATTACTGACCTTCCAAATGATACTCATTCAGTGTATTAATTCTGAATGTAAAAAACATAAGTTGAACACAAAAAAAAAATCAAGTCAAAATGATTCTCAAATTACTTTTGGGGAGATTTTAAAGTCCATTAATCTTGGACAATGTAAATGGAAGCTTTTTAATTATGTGTATGAAAGATACATAATTATATATTTGCTTACATTTCAAATATAATTTAATTCAATATTATATCTTCTTTTATATCTTAGGTTGCAAGCCACCCAAAATAAGATCATAGGAAGGGATTAGGTGATCCTGGGAAAGGACCTGCCCATGCTGCCAGCATGCCAGCACCCTGCACTACCAGATCTGCAGTGCTGCTTCCAAAGCCCAGTGCTGTGCTTTGGCCAAGCTGCTGTAGGATGAGCAACACCTCCCAGGGATACAACATTTATTTTAACAGTTCCAGAAGATACACTGGGTGCTCAAGGTGCTGGCTGCAGCATTGCCCAAAGTGAACACTCTGCTCCATAGAAGCTTAGGAGATTCTGTTTGGTGGTGCCACTAACAAGATGGATTTGATGAGGGAGCAGCTGAGTTCTGGGACTCCCAGGGACTCCCCAGAGTCTCCCCTGGAGAACAGCCTTGCTGAGCTGCCATAACATATCACTACTTTTAAACTTGGAAGAGTGTCAGAAGGGCCGGTTTCTGCTGTCAGTCTGCCATTTGATTAACTACCTTAACACTAAACCTTTAAATCCCACAGCACATATATTGAGAGTTGCAGTATTCAGGCACAACTCAGTGGCCGTAATTAGTTCAGTTCAATAGGGTCTTTAAAAGTTTGGGATTTTAACCTCAGTGTTAAATTCTTCTCCTTAATTCAGTTTTCATTGCAGCAGACTTCACGGAAACATGCAACAGCTGGGTTTGAAAGGGACCTCTGGAGATGTAGTCCAAAGCCCCTGTTCCATCCAACCAAACCTACTGTGTTCAGCTGTGGGCCCCTCACTACAAGAAAGGCAATGGAGCTAGTGGAGGCTCCAGAGCACAAAAGGAGTGTCTGAGGGAGCTGGGGTTGATTATCCTGGAGAAAAGGATGCTCAGGGGTGATCTTATTGCTCTCAACAAAGAGAAGGCAGTGCTGGGCTAGCAGTTGGAATTTATGATCTCGGAAGTCTTTTCCAAACTACATGGTTTCACAATTCTAGGTCTGTGCTGAAGCCTCGTATTTTCAACCAGTTTAGACTGAGCAGATGCTCCGCCCAAACACAGTCCATGTGCCCCACTGCCCCTCGTGCAGCAGCCCTGAAGGACACCAACAGGTAGAGCCTACCTCTCTGCAGATTCCAGCATCTCACGAGTCCCTCAGTGACTACTGTGAAATCCTTTGTGGGAATATCTCTTGAAAAGCCTGTCAGCCCTTTCCATACACAGAGGAGATGGCTGAGAGGGGGGTTTGAGATGGCTTAAGCTTAGAGATTCCTAAAGTCCTCTCAGACACCCAAAGTCCTGCTGTTCACATAGCACAGTCTCTGAAGCTGGTCCAGCCCCCTCCCCTCTGCAAGGTAAGCACCAGCTTAGACCTTCTCACCTCTGTCCGACTGAAGTCCCGGGTCTGCTGGCTGCTTGGCAGTGGCTCAGAGTAAGAATCAAATAGTGCACAGTCACGTATGGGCTTCAAACAAGCTGCAGGGGAAAGAAAAAGAAAAGAAAAACCCTAATCCATAAGACATGGGTGACAAACATCACAAAGAAAATCTTTCTATCTTGTGTCTTAAGGAAGTCAGTGTCATGAAAGGGATAGCTTGTATAATTTCTGTTGTAGAAATAATGGTGAAATTTGGAAGAAATTTTTCTTCTCCCAGTCCAGTATCAACTTAATTGATCTTACAGTTTATATCTGTTCTAATAATTTTAAAGGTACTTACGCTACCTTCAGCTCCAGTTTTGACTTTTTGAATACTGAAAAGTATAGTAGAATCTACATTATACTCTGAAACTGAGGGTCAGTGAAAGCAAAGCACTAAACACTGCCAATGCTGTAGTATATACCACCTCCAAGTAAACAACACTGAGAGCAGGGGGGGAAAAAGGAAAAAAAAATCACATCTAACTTCTCAAAGGAATATTCACAACAAGCTAATTTCTATCCCACAAGCTCAGGTCCTTCTGCTGGTATCACTCTGGGATTAGCTCCTCTGATGAAAATCTATTTTATGAGCTGGAAAACATATTTTTTAAAAGATCAATATATTAAAAGGCAGAACAACCACATTTCTAGCTTTTTAGCTAGAATTTATTTTATCTCAATAAATTAAGCTCTTGGTGATCTGTCTTAATTTACAGTACAGTGGGTTACACACAGGGCAAATAGCTTTTGAGATTCTGCAAATTATTTTTAATGAAAAGTTTCCAAAAAGAAGGTGGTGAGTCAAATTGTCAATGGAACTGCGCCAGGATAGCATTTGGACCAGTTGTACTTGCAGTTTACAGGACAAGTCATAAAACTATCAAGATTAATGCATTCTTACATGCTTCTTTGCTCCAAGTCATTTTATTTGAAGATTCAACAGCATTGTTATCAGATATAAATAATTCAATTGAACCAAATTATGCCTCATTCTGAAACTAATACAGCAACCTGATGAAAAACAGTTGCCAGTAATCTTCTTCAGGGTCCTAAGAAGCCAAAAAAAATTTGAAAAAAATATCTAAATTTTAAAGAAATCAAATTATGAAAATATGAAAACATAAGATTTCTCTTGAAAATTGCTTTTGACGTTTTAGGTAACTGTATGAGGCACTTACATCCTTGTCAATGCTTTTATTTCAGAAGTAATGCAACCAGGGCTCTATGCTTTTCTGTGATTCACAGGTTTACAGTGTGTTGAGATGTTCTGCTTTTATTAATCCAATTCTTTCAAAAGATGGCAGATCAGACAGCAGAATGAGCACGAGACATTTTCAGACCCATAGATTAACCAGAATTAGTTCATTATCTAATGAACTAATCTAATTGGGGTATTTACAGGACCCACAAGAAACAATTAGTCCTTTCACCTCTTCCATGTAGACTTGCTTGAAATGCTTGGTTTCATGCAACAACGTGAAACAATAATAATCTAAGAAAATGGTAGAACTAAGTGCTTAAAGGGACAAATAGGGAAAAAAAGAGGAGTCCCAGGGAACAACTGCAGCTTATCATGCTATTTCTCCCCTTGACATAATGATTCCCTGCTACTACAGATAGTCATTTCCACTGCAGTTTTACCCAAGAAGATTCAATGTGAAGACACACCAAAAAGAACCTGCATGGATGAGTTTACAAGCCAATTTATCGTAACACCAGGCATGAAAGTAGTGAACAAAGTGGTGGTTCTGGAGGGAGAAGGGTAGTTTTAATTATGACAGGGGAATGTAATTAGAGAGACTGAAAGTGATAAAGATTTAGAAGTGCATGTTTTCCAGAAGCTCGTTGCGTTGGATATGAATATAGTGGATTACGGGGAACATGACTACATCAGAAATTATTTCACAAATCTGATACAGGTCAGCATTTAATTTTCCTAACTGCAGCTTGATTTGTTCTTTTCCTGCCTTTTAATATACTCAGTGTCATCAAATTTAATGGAGATTTTATTAGGTCTTAAATATTATCCCTTAGCACTGTGATTAATCCTCCTTGCCCTCGAGAGTCACGCACATTTTTCAGTTGTAACAGTATATATTTCAACATCCATTTATAATTAAAAGAGACATAAATGAAGGGAACAAATTAAAGGGCAGGTCTTTCACTGCACATTGTTACTAAGTATGTTACATTTTAGATTAATTCATCCTTGTGCTACACAAATTGTTGCAGTCCTCCTGTCATTAATGCGAACTACCCACAGAAGAACCTGTGGGTTTTATAAAATAAACTACAAAAAAATTCAACCTTTGATATAAACAGCATCTCCATCTAAAAATACACTAGCATATGAAGTTCTAATGCAGTCCAGTATAATTTTCAACAAATGCTCTAGAGACAGATACTTTAAGGAAAAATCATCAAAATAATTAAAAGCTATATCATAGACTCACAGAATGGTTTGTACTGGAAGAGATGTAGAAGATTATCTAGTTCCAATCTCCCTTAGCATGGGCACCTTCCACTAGACTAGGTTGTTCTAGGCCTTATCCAACTTGGCCTTGAACACTTTCAAGGGTGCAGCATCCATAGCTGCTCTGGGTAACCTGTTCCAGTGGTTCACTGTCCTCAGAGTAAACAATCTCTTCCTAAAATCTAGCAGAAACCTGTCCTCTTTCAGTTTAAAGGCATTGCTGGATTCTCTTTGCTTTACAGGTACTCATCTCTGTCTGTCCTGTCTTTATCTGTCCTGACACATGAAGCACAACAGAGCAAAGGGGCAGACATTAAGAGGCAGGTGACTGCTCCACTTTGCATCCCTGTCTCTATGCTTTGAGGTATTACTACTTCAGCAGTCATCTCATGAGCACAATTAAAAACACATGCCTTAAATGCAGCTGGAGAATCATTACACAGCATAGAAGCCCATGCCAGGATGGGAAGTGAACCTGTCTTACACACACATTGGATTTCTGAGACGGCTGCAGGGATATGACTTGCCATGGGAGCTTTACCTGCTTGAAGGTACTCGGGCAGCAGCGTCTCTGGCAGTGTCTCAGGCAGCTGGTAACCATTCTTCCTCGCAACCACAAGGTGGAAAGCAGCACAGAACTCTGGGAGTGTCAGTGCCCCATCACAATCCACATCACTCAGCTCCCTGTGGATTAAACAGGCACACGTTTTCCAAGGTGTTACCTCAGGGAAACATAAGCGTGCCATCATGGGGGAGACAAAAATGCAGCTCTGAGAAGAGCTTGTCATGTACACTTGATCCTGATTTGCACATTTGTCTTGAGGAAGATGAAGTAAGCTGATTTTCTAAAACTGACTTGCCACTTTTTCATTTTTCACTGAAGTACACTTTAATACATCATACTATTGAATATGATGGTATGTCTATATTAGAAAGTTAAATACATAATCTATACTTACAGAATCATAGGGTGGTTTGGGTTAGATGAGACTACAAATATCATCTAATTCCAACTCTCCTGCCATGGGCAGGGAACCTTCCACTAGACCAGGTTACTACAAGCCCCTTCCAGCCTGGCCATGAACACTTCCAGGGATGGGAAGTCCACAACTTCTCTAGGCAATCTGTTCTAAAGCCTCATGACCCTTATGGTAAAGAAGTCCTTCCTAATATCTAATCTCAACCTGCCCTCCTTTAGCTTACAGCCATTACCCCTTGTCCTATCACTACATGTCCTTGTGGAAAGTCCCTCTCCAAGCTCTCTTATGGGCATCGCTAGGTACTGGAAAGCTGATAGAAAATCTTCCAGACCCTTTTCTTCAGGCTGAACAACCCCAAGTGTCTCAGCCTGTTTTCACAGGAGAGGTGCTCCAGCACTGTGATCAACTCAGTGGACCTCCTCTGGACTTGTTCCAACAGCTCCATGTTCCTCTTGTGCTGGGGAGCCCAGAGCTGGATGTAGCACTCCAGATGGAGTCTACATCCACAAGAGCAGAGGTGCAGAACCCCTTTCCTTGCCCTGCTGGTCACACCTCTTTTGATGCAGCCCAGGATGTAGTTGGCCTTCTGAGCAGAGATTAATTGCACATTGTTCCAAGTGCAGAATGAACCTTCCAATATTTGGAAGCACTTTTGGCTAATCCATGCAGGATCTTAAAACAGTTCAAGCAGAAAAAGTTAAATATGGACTTTAGCAATGGTTACTTAGCACCATTGAGTAACGTTTAAAAAAGAGCAAAATAAATGCTCATGATGAGTTTAAATATTGTTAACTTCTTACTAAATGGTTCTCTCTAATTCTAGCATGTTTCACAAACAAAAATTAATCTTCAGAAAGTCAATAATTCAATTTTATAAATTTTATTAATTAACTCTGTCAAATTTGAGTAATATTTTATCTTGGGCACATGGTTTAAAAGAAACCTGTAATTTCTTTGAATGTAACAAGCATTATGAAACTGTTGAGGTTATAGTGACAAGGACTGAAACATTCCATGTAACACAGCAACACAACCTGATAAATCACACTGCCACAAAATTACAAGTATCTACTAGAAAGGAATACTTTTCTTGAAATTCTGCACCAAGAACGAGTTGTGTCAGCAAGAGAAATAAAATCTGTTTTGCTACCATATTAGGTTAATCCATTCTTTTTAAGTAATCTTAAATTTAAATTCCAATATTCACTTCCCCCAGCATTATGTTTCCTCAGTTGGGTTTTTTTTTTTTTATTTTCACAACTGACAATCCGCTTTGAAAAGATTCCAGACGTATCCTTTGACCCTGACAGATGTTTAGGCTCTTGCAAGCTTTTCTTCTCATCTCTCTTCATAAAAGCATATAGAAAAACAAAATCACTATCCCCATTTCTGATCCATGTTTAAAACTGTTTGTTCCTCCTATCAGACATGTAATGATGACAACAAATTACAAAGCACCATGTTGTTGATGAAAATATAATAGAATTCTTGTCAAATTTTATCACATATGGTTTCATCCGCAATTGTTTCTCAATAAGCTCATTAAAAGTAAGCACACTGGTTCATTAGAAAAGCACTAATGAATTATGCAGTTGTTTAATTAGGCCTCCTCTGACAGAAGAGAGACAAAAACATAAAACCAACAACACATCTAAAACATTCCAGAGGTGCTTCTCCTCTGTGTCATTTCATGAAAAACGCCAGTTCTTTGAGCTAATGATGCTGCCTACAATACACTTAAGAACAGCTCTCAGCTACGCTGCCATTCAAACCTTCCCAGTCCTGCTGAGTAGTTGAACATCTCTCCAGAAAACAAGTGGATCAGAAAAAGCAATGACCACCCTGCTGCTTGGGCCTCAAAGTGACTCTGGAGATAAGAGCAATAATTATAATTAAAGACACTTTTAAAATTTAACAAGAACTCTTGAATTAAGCATCTTTTAAAAAAACATGAGAGGCATCCCCAACACTATTACAGTACTCACCAGATGTGAGAAAGTTCCAGGATGGGAAGCTTGGATTTTGTGAAGAAATTCTTTGCTATGGAACCTGTTGGGAAAGCATGCCACATCAACTATTGGAAATTAATTCTCCCAATTCTTCCCTTTTACCAGGTCTATCATGCCAGAAGAAGACAGTTAATTTATGCCCAAGAGATGCTCAGATTAATCAGACGCTACAATAGATGCTGGACCATTTGTCTTCTGAGTAAATGATACAGAAAGCCAGACAGAGCTGTTGACCTCATTTCTCCATTCCCCCCATATGGGAAAAATAAATAAAGGGAAACCTGCTTTAGTACTAGTAACTCTAACCTGCATAACAAGTACGTCACCAATGATGAAATAACAGACACAAACAGCCCTGCTTCACCCAGAAGTCATGTGTTTGCCAGTACAATGCTTTGACATCTGCACTGCTCTCCCAAGATGCTGCTTCAACCATGACTTTTCCCTGCACTGAAAATTTTACTGAGGGGGAAAAAAGAAAAGAAAAAAGAAACTGAAGGAGATTCAGCTAGCACACAGCTCCTGTCCTACTGCAAGCATCCTCATTCATCCTGCCATAGCAGCCCTTCTCATGTTTCTAGTTAACAAACACACTTCTTCACCATCTCATATGCACAGTCTGTCAGGAGTACCTAAAAGCCCTTCCTGGGTACAGGCTTACAAATCATAAGAAAACAAAGCACAAACATCTGGGATGATAATCCTCTTCCCCATGGACAACCACTGGGGAAAGAATTTACACTGAACAACCATTTGTTCTTTGAAGCAAACTGCATGAAGAAGACTTAACTGAGGTGAGGGACTGCTGAAGCACTAATTTCAGTTAGCAGCAGGTAATTTCTTTTAACTTTCATTTGGATCAAAGCCTCCTGAACCCTAGTGATACAGCAGGGCTCATTACTATTGCCTCAGTTTAAAACCTGTAACATAATCCTTGCCAGACCAACTCTGTACACGGCAAAGTCTCCTCTCACAAGCAGCCTGGACTTTCGATTCAGGATGGAAATCTGAGTATCAACAGAGCCATCTCAGTATGCTCTTAACAATACTTCTACCATGTGTGTCCTCTCCAGGATTGTTTCCTAATTACCTAGAGGTCAAAATCTTAGTTGCCCAGAACCATAAGCCTCAGGCTTGACCACCCAGGGCAGTTAACTGCATGCTTCACTGTCATCACATGGACACTGCCACAGGTCTGCTGGATAAGCCAGCACAATCCCCAGGGGTTTTTCAACTCAATATACACTGCAGGTGTGATCCACAAATACACCACATCAAATGCAGAGAGCTCATTTTAACTTTTACCAAATTGCCAACACTTCTCCCTTAGATGCAAATGTTTTTATAAAATCAGGGTATTTAGGAGAAAATATAAGGGCCACAATATTGGTTTGAATAGTCTGCCTTTAAAAAGAAAACATAATCAACTCTTACAAATGTGCTACCAGAGAAAAAGTAATTTATTTACTTAACACTTTTCACCTCCCAGCTGGTCCCCCTATTCTATGTGCACAGTACTTGGTAAAAATTACCGGAAATAAAGGCGTTGAGGTCGGGCTGCAGGGACCTGAACTGGTTAATGTAGTAATCTCGCTGCTCCTCTGTTATCCTCCAAGGGTCATCTGAGTACTGGGTGCTGCTGTCCTGCTGCTCCCGCTCCACTGAAACAGACTGAAGGGAGGGACACTGGTACCAGACACAGGGAGGGCAACAGAAGGGACTAGGAACCTCAAGAAACCAGACTCACACTCTTCTATGTAGCAGAGACAAATTTTCAGAAGACAAGAAGCAGAAATGGCCACACTGATGACCATCCCACTGCTTACCTGTTAAAACTGAGACTATGAGGTATCTTCAATTAAAGGAAGTTTTATGTGACCATCGCTCAAAGGAAAAGGAAATCTGGCTACTACTGATCACTGAAAGTCCAAGTCATACTTAATTACCTCTAGATTAATTTTGGGGGTCCTTTTTTCTGTCATGCATTTCAACCCTGAACTGCATACTGTACACCTCACATGGATGGAACCAGTAAAGGACCTAAAGCTGCATTTATGCAGCTTTGTGCGTGAAAATTTATCTTCACTATGAAACTACATGTTTAATCTATCAATGGTGCTGTAAACTATGGAGATATTCCACTTCTGGACCTTCTGCTCATCCCAGTAACTCAGCACTCATTATGCTAAGTCAGGGAGACACACAAGTCCTTAGAGACCCTCTTTGACTTCCCACGGTTTAAGCAAAAATCCTCCTTTGGGTAAAGGAATACTCTGGAGGAGAAGGGTACTCAATCCAATTATTTCTTTGCCCTATCTTTGCTCTCTGATTAACCTGTTTAAGGGAGGCCTGGACCTTTTGCAGGTGGAGGTATCTAGAAGAGGGCTGCCAGTACAGCTGGTGTCTTTGTTAAAATGGAATAAATGAGTATTCAATATTTGAGCCTGCATGGTAAGAGCCTTAAAAAGGGAGGGCAAGAATGAACAACAATCAGCTATGAAACCCTTTCTCTGACATACCTGTCTGTTTCCTAAGAATCAAATGCAAAACACCAGTTCTGAAATACATCAAAAGATCCCTGAAACAGGCAACATCATAAAGCTGTAAATTACTTTTCATTTCAAAGTGCTACACAATTGCACCCAATTTAATTTCAAGCTAACACAAATTATGTGACACTACCTGTAGATCTCTTTTGGAGGCTCAGGTGACATTTTATTGTGTGTGTGAGGTGCTAAGCACGCAGGAAAGGGTGGAGTCTCTGAGTAGGATACTCACTTCACTTTTTTAGGAAAATCTCTCGCTTAAGAGAGCTTTGCCCTTCCTTATGGCAAACAAGTTGTTTGCATCATAAATGCACAGCAGGCATACTGGAACACAGGAAAGATCTGCTTTTGCAACCAGCAGGAAAATATAAGACTCATTTCTATAAAAACAAATAAATACCCAGAAATTAATATATTTTGCTTAAGGTGCAATTTAACCAACTCAGGTGAAAAACCAAAATATGCAGAAGGCATAATTACCATGCAAGTGTTACAGACAGCAATCGAAATCATGAAGGACTCTCTGTGAAACCTCATGTACTTTAAATGAAAATGTTTTACTTCGACTTACCTTTAGCAATTTAATTAATTGATTACTTATTGTAATTTCTCCATACCATCAGCTTTTTTTCCTCATATACCAAAAAAGCACACTTCAGTCTGTAGTCTAAAAACACCACAGAGAACACTTTTCACTTCCAAAGTGAGAATATTCTGCTTTTTTTTCAAATTTTTTCTTTTCATTAGTAGCACTACTGAAGAAAAATATGCAATTCATTACCCGGTTAGGAGTTGAACAGGTGAGTGCAGATTTGGCTCCATAACTCCCTGATGATGGTCCATCTTGCTGGTGAGTAGAGTGTCTGACTTCATAAGGAGCTACATTAGACATTTAAAATTAAAGATATAAATGTCAGGATAATAAAAAAAAACCCTGCTAAGCTAAAGGAAATAATTAAATTCCACAAGACTGAGAATGTAGTTTGTGAACACTGTATCAGAGCATCAAGTCCATTTGGTCAAGCATCTACCAAGTGAACCAGGTACCACAGTATCAAAGTCCATTTTCTCTTATGCAAGAGAATTCCAGCTACATACTTGTCTTTCCCATTGCATCATTCCTCTTCAGATATTACTGAGATACTGCCATTTATATACTGCTAGACAACAGAAATCACTCTTCATCATGTTTAAATATACATTTATATAACCTGTCCATGCATTTATACACTTCATATAGCCACATATATCACAACAACTATTTTAAGTAAAAAATAATTCAGCTGGGCTATAAAAAAAAAGCTTTGACAATACAATGTGCCCTGGTTTAGGGCAAATTTGGGAGAGAACCTCCCAAACCTTCACTACTTCTCTGTATACTCTTTCTCTCCCTTCCCTAATTTCTGTTGAAAATCAAAATAGGTGACTCATCAGTTTGTACTATTTGGAGTAAAGTTAGTGAAAAAAAGTAACAATTTCTTCTTCTTCTTTTGCTAAAATAAGTCACTTAGGCTCCACTGCAGCAAATATAGTAAGCAGCAACACAACGACACATTTTAGGAACAATGTTTTAAAAATAGAGCAAGTGTGCAAACAAAAAGGCGACTCACTTGCAAACCCTTACACAGCTGAGAACTGTTGCCAGCCTGCTTAAAATTTACCATTATGAAGTCTACATTAGATAGTCAGAACCTTAAACACTCATGATGAAAAAGAAGCCCAAGAAATCTTAAAACTTCTGACCTCAGGAAGAGCTTAAAAATTATACCTCTAACCCCCTTGTTTCCCTAAGGAGCCTTATCCTGTATTGCTACCTATTTTCATTCCTGTACAAGTTACTGCCAATTTCAGATTAAAAAAAAAAGAGGGAGGAAGGAAGGTGAAAGGTAGGAAACCTTTAGATGTCCTCAGAGTGGAGGTTTAAGCATGAAGCCACACGGCTGTACTAGCCACTGCTATCATGAATAAGGTACAGAACTATAAAGAAAAATGTACAGTCCTGGTTGCAGTGCAAAGGGCTGCCCTTGGAGACACCGTGTCCAGTTTGAGGTCAGATCTGCAGTACAGCCCAGGGCAGGGGCACAAGCACCTCCTCCACATGCACTACACACAGCTGACCTTTGCAGTGCTCTTCAGGAAACTGGAAGGGTCTTTATCTGAAAGGCCAGGAAGAACCAGCAGGTCTTGCATTAGGCCTGGCATTTGGTACAGCGTGGGTCATAAAATGTTAACCACTCACTACATTTGAGAACAAATTGAGGTCAAATTTGTTTGAGAACACATTTGGCTGAAGTATCCCCAGTGGGATTAAAACAGGAGAGATTCCTTTTCTGGAAAATAGGAAAAATTGCTTTCTGAAAAATAACCATCGTTCTGCACCTCTAAGATTTTATTACCTTAGAAAATTGAGCAGTTAAATAATTACTTTTGGGAGATGTTGACAGCTGGACTGGATGATGCTGTCCCTGATCACTTTGCATAGGTGCTGAGTCCATGAGAAATTTCAGAGAAGTTACATTCACAACCAAATTCAGAAGGAAGAAAACCCCCAACACCCAAAACACTCCCTCAGCATTGACAGATGCGGGACAGAGTGCCAGAAAAGAGCAGAGCACTCGACAGGTACACGGTCAGCCGGTCCCAAAGGACACCCCCTGCCCAGCTCTCCACAGCATGGGCTCTCTGCCACGTGTCTTCTTCACTGGGGCAGAACATGCATTGTTCCAGAAAACAACTGCACTAGTGTGCTGCTCTCAGAATCAATCCCACCTCTGAACAGGCAGCAGTTTACCTCCGCAGCAGGGGAATGCCTGTGACTCAGTACTGGTACAATTTTCAGGTGAAGGCCACTTTATAGTGTCAAGAACATTCTTATCACAGCTGTACTGAGTTTCAACATGTTGAATAGCTCTTTTGTAACTCATTTGTAAATAAGGACAGAAGGTGAAGGAGTAGCATGCTTCAATCTTCACTCACTGCAAACACACTAATGTAAAGGAGGAGGGATGATGGTATACACCAATGTTGCCACCAACTTGGTCAGCACATGTTGCAATAATCAACGCACAGGTGCTTTACTATTAACAGGAACCTGTAAAACCATAGTTAAACTGGCTTCTGCCCCATTAGCCTCTGATTAAAATCTGAATGTTTTCCCACCTACTCTAATGGCATCAAAATGAAGGACAGGAACATCCAAGGCAGTGCCTTGTTTTTGTCCAAATTACCTAAGTTACATTGTGGGACTGCTTTTATACTCTCATCCTATTATTATTTCTGTTACAAAACCAGAGATGATATTATCTGTTTCTGCAAAAGAAGGTTCACTTCCAATGTGAAAATTAATTTGTAGCTGCTAAAATCGGGAGCAGGCTTTTCTTCCCCTCTAATGAAACTAAAACCATCGTGCACTCTGACAATACTTGCAGGCTCTCTGCCACCGGGGTATACTGCAGAGCCTTGTCAGAGATTAGGTATTAGCATTTGTGAGCAGTCACACATAAATCTAATTTAATAGAAAATGAATAGGAAGACAGGATTGAATAGTCAAAATAAATTGATCAAATAATTTTCCAAAACATGAGCCTAATTGAATTTTAAAATCATTAGCCTGATTGTCACTAGAATTTGGTTACTTCTAGTGTAGCTAGTGCAGAATTTGGAACATCTGATAAGGGAAAAAAAATTTTAAAAGAAAAAATATTTTAATACAATGTTCATTGCCGTTTTTATCCTACCTCCATGCTGCTGTTCCAGCCCACCTCTTGCTTTACCATATCCATAATTTAGCGGTATTCTCTGGTAAGTAGATGGAGAAGAGGGAGGTGAGCAAATTGGAGACATCGGAGGAGACTTGGGTTCCTATTTCAAAAACACACCAACACAAAGCACAATTCTGAGACAAAAATTGTAAGAAACAACCAAGTAATGCTGCAAAAGTGCATACAATATGATGAACAAAAAGCACTGCAGCATCCTCAGGCCCTTTATTTCCAAGAAAAGGCTTAAAACAGACAAGACAGCATTTGGTACTGAGCCTTTGAGGGATAAAGCATGGCAGTGCTATAACAAAGCTTTACAATGGTCAGCTCAATGTATTTTATTTCCAAAGATGCCTGAAGTAGTATATGTAGAAGGCTCATGAGATTGCTTGAGAAAAGGCTGTAAGCATGAAAGGTTTTACTGAATAAAGAGGAAAATATAACACAACACAGATAATCCAGATGGAGCCAGGGGTTTGAGGGCAGTGTTCTGCAGATGGAGCCAGGGGTTTGAGGGCAGTGTTCTGCTTTGGTGTCAGTACACAGAGGACAGGCATACATGCTCTTCTTCCTCATCCTGTTATTCCACCTGTGTATCTTGTCATCAGCTCACTCCTGCTGGCTGACCTCAGGCTGGGAATGCCGTTACTGGCGCCAACGCACCCTGTGATAAACATGGGCACTGTTTTGGGAAGATAAAAGTGCTTCCACCAGGCACTTACAACATGACCTGATACTGTACAACAGGAGAAGGTGTCAAGCCTGGGGAAAATTATGCAAATCAGTCTTTGTAAAAATTATGTACCACTGTGAAGCTTCCTGTATCTGAACAAGTGCTCTCTACTCTCCAAAATACAGGTAATACGAATGTCCCTTAGATTCTTCATTAAACTGGCATTTCAGAACTGCTGGGACAATACTTCACTCAGGAAAAAAGGAAAGCAGATGTCTTCTGGACTACTCTTGGGGAAACAAAAATGAAAGAAAACTTGGGGGCCTTACCCCACCCAAAAATAGTGGTTCATGATTGAACACCTCATCTCCAATTGAGTATTTCTAGAGTGACTAAGGACCATGAGTCCATTACTATACTGGCCAAGGGAAATCACTCATTTTCTTGTTCTGTTTCACAGACAGATTTGTATTTGCTGCTTTTCCCACTTTCTTTCAAGAAACAGTGCTGGATTAAGTAGGAGAAAAACACTGAAAGAACTTACACAGAATATTATAGGGCTGACAGCTTTATGCAAGCTCATATAGAGAATTTTCTTCAGGGAAGCAACTGGGATGCATCAAAACCAGAGCACAGGCATGATGGGGATTATTTGTACATCAGGAGTTCATCTCCTGTCTAGTACTGGAAAGTTGAGTAAGCCCCTGTGAGTGTAATCATTCACAGAACTGGACCCAAAATGAGGATGCATAATGACTTGTTGGCCTGAAGGAGACAAGCCTGTTACCTGTTTGTCCCCTTCATCTGTTCTTTTGTAGGAATTTTTTTCCAAAGTTGCATGTGGAACCTGAAATTTAACTCCATGGAATTCTGCTGGAGTCCCATAACGTACTTCAGTGTCATTTTTCAGTGCCATAAATCGTGGTAAAGGCAATTCTTTATTAAGAGAGAGAAAAATACAATTGAGACTACAGAACATTGGAAGCACTTTAAGCAGTACCATCTTGTAATACCAACGAAAAGTTTACAAAAGATTGCTAGTTATATTTGTAATCTTTTTAAGTGTGGGACTCCTTTGATTGTTTATGTCTTAATAAAAATGTGAATGTTACACAAAGCTACATTCACTAGCTTAATATATAATCTCCCCATGCAAAGAGAAAGAAATAAGCCTTGTGCATGTTATTAAAGCAAGCAGCAAACTCATTTCCTGCCTTCAAAACCTTGCCTGTAATGAAAAGAATAGTTTCCCACAGAAACTGTGGGACAGATAAATTAATCAGTCAGGATCACAGTATCCTCAATGCTGCCATCATAAAAGGAACAAATCAAAAATAATAGGGTTCAGAGATCACACCAAGGCCTAGAGAGACAGCTGTGTCACAAGGTCCCATGTTGCATCTGCTGTGCTGAGCAAGAGACTGACACTTTGTCACTCTTTAAGACAATTCCTGATTATGTTGCAGAAACGCCATTTATTTTGGTGTACAGTCACCCTAAAAAGATCAATACAATTAAAATTAACAGAATGCTCAACACCAAGCAAAACCATTTATCCATCACCTCTGTAACCTTCTACACCCACAGTTACAACCACGAAAAAAATAAATCACTTGAAATTTGGTACATGTTACTCACTCCACTCTAAAGGTGCTCATATATTTTCTAGAGAAAATGTAATTAGCACTAGAAGATTTACTGAAATTTTATTGAAACAATAAGATATCAATACAAGGACTGCAAGTACCTGTTTCCACTCAAATTTGTGGATTATTTGAATTTGCTGGACTTGTAAAACATACAGAGTAAATCTCAGTCCAGGTTCTAATTTAGTTTGTTGGGAGTTTTTTGTTAGTTTTTTTTGTTGTTGTTGTTGTTTTTTGTTTTAATTAACATATTTAAAAAGGACAGCAATGCAAGAGAGAGTGAACAAGCTGCCCATAGAGGAAAACTGACAGACACATCCAAGCCACTCCTCTTCATCTTTGGTTCAAATTCCTGCTCCAGCAAGGCACTGAATCAAACTGTGCCAGCTGCATCTGACCCCCTCCACTTGCTCAGGAGCTCTGCACCACTGGAGCTCAGCTCACACAGGTTATCATGGGCTTGTCATTCGGGCCTTGCCTCCCTGGGATGGGGCAGACTGGGAAGCCCCTCCCTGCGCCTTGCAACGCACATGAATATGACATTTCATTTCCCTTATTAGGGACAGCAGAGCAGAAGCTGTGCTGGGAGCAGTGACCTGATTGCAGGGTTGTGGGTAGGTGCTGCCTTTCCAGCCTTGTCTCTGATCTTGTGGCTGGCTGCACTGCCCCTCCAGTGGGATGGTGCAAGCACAGCCTCAGGGCACGGCTTGAACACCCACCCAGGATATGGGAGCTAAGGGTTCAAACCTGTTCAAGCTCAAGCAAAAAGCCCTGTGTTTTGTAAGCCCTGCTGAGGCAGAGAGTGCATCACTGAAGCAAGAACACGGAGTTCCTATCAAGGTTTCACAGCTGAAAGGGACCTGCTTTCTCTCTTCATCGCCTGAGTTAGATAAGACTCTTCCAAGAAGCTTTCCTCTCCACCAAAAATGGTACATTTAACATTGCTGACAATTCATTGGGAAGAATAAAGCTGTTTCAAAGTATATCTAATACACATTTTCACACCTATTCACAGTAAGCACTGTGATTTTTATCTCCACTACCCATTTATTTCAGCAGGATTATTTGCTAAAGCAGATGAGTGTTACAATCTGCCCTGCACAGAGGGACTCCCTGACCTGTCCATGTGCCCCACAATGTGCCTCCACCCAAAGCAGCTATCAGCTCCCATTTTGGACAGCTGTCAAGATTAGAGGCTGAAGGTAAGAGAGAAATGCATCTCCTGCACTGATCATCTGTCATTCCTGCCACTCCTTTGTAATGCCTTTTCCAGAGGGGGATGTCATCTCAGATCTCTCATATCTGTAATTCTCTGCAATTTTACACCACTCACTCAGAGCATGTAACATTGCCATCCACTCTTTCTCTGCTCCTTAAAATTGTTCATAGAAACATAAGAATAAAAAGTTTACCACCATGGAGAGCTGACAAGCATTAAAGGAAGTGAGAAACAAGTGCACAGTACTGCAAGCAAAATTTGCTACTTACCATTCTTAATGCTCTCAATCCGTACTGGAAACCCTGACTGTGCTGCTGCAATTAACTTCAAAGCAATATAAAACTGAGCAGGACCAAAATAACCCACACGCTTGGCTCCACAAACCTCTGTAATCTAGGAGAGAAGAGACACATTGTCGGTTAAATGCATTTCATTCTTCCAGGAGATGTCAATATCTCCACATAAACAAAGAAAAAACTTTAGAAACACAAAATGCTTGCTGTATTTGAAGTCTTCTACTACAAGTATTTGTTTCAACTAAGAACATCAGTAAACCAAAGACATGTCGAGTAGTTGTTGCACTTTTCAGAAGCACTACTGGTTAACACTGCTATCCTAAAACAAGTTATGGGTTTTCATACTATGTAAGATTTTAACAGCAGAGGAAATTAGAAGTTCTTAAGTACCCTGTCCAGTAAAACATTTCCACCAGAGAAGCTGTGATTTCCTTAGAAAGTTATACATAATATTAGCCCTAACAACAACAGTTCAAATAATTACCGTAACTGGAACATTAACACAACAAAAGACCCCAGCACACCACTTGAGCAAACACTTATTTTTTTGCATGAAAAATTAACATGGTCACAGCACTTAAGTTTAAATTCTATGTATACTTCATTATTTGCTTCACTCTGCTGCTATTATTTCTTTATCTTCTGCTTTGTTGCCACCATCTGCCCAGCTGCAGCCAGGGAAACAGGAGAGAGATTACATAGCATGGACCAGAGGGCTAAAAACGAGGCTCTTTCCCTTGCTGAGATGGAAGTTCAGCTTTATTCTTGTTCTTGGGATCCCATGGAGAAAGAGAGCAGGAGAGAAAGAGGAGGAATATTGATAGTGTGCGTCTTTCTGAAGGCAGGGGGAAGAGGGTGGATTACTTCCACACAGCCAATAAGGAGAACTGGGGAGAAAGAGATAAGGGAAAGAAACTTACATTCTATATTTTCAGGGTACATTCTCTCAGGTCATGCCGTTTTTCTAAATGCATCACAACACTCTGCCACTTTTACGAAGCAAGGAGCACCATGTTTACACACTCAGACACAATGCCTAAACAAACAGCAGATATCAGCAGGCTTTAAGCATAGGTGCCAATTCTCCCATGCCTGGAGCTCCCAGATGTTCACAAACAAACCTCAGACAGGCACTAGGGCTAGAACAAAACTCCATTTGTCCCAGACACAATAGGAAATCTCAAATTGTTTTCTTGAAAATACACCTAGATTAGCAATGTCTACTGGCTGGCAAGGTGCAGCCTCTCTGACAGTTCTCCATGGACAAGGGCTGCTTCTGGAAAGCCAATATAAGCAAATAGCACAGATGAATAGTCTATTTTTTCTGATTTATTTTAATATGTATACATACACATACACAGTGGCAAAATGTAAGGTCAAGCAATTACTGAAAAAATCAGATGTTTTGGAATGGTAATTCTTACTAATCAAAGACAACTGTTTTCAAGCAAACCCTTTCTTCTCTGGATGTGGCCTCTGCTTTGACTGAAAGAGCTCTGGCTACTTTCTCCTCCTAAAAGTTTCAGACTTGGTCACAAGACACATCAAATAGTATTTCTTCTCTTACAGCTTGATAAAAAGGGAGATGGAATCTCCACATAAGGACAGCTTCAATTAACCAGAAGCATTTGTCATTCTCTTTCCTCTATTTTTTTTTCTGTTACTGTGGCCTTTTTTATTCCACCCTTCCCGTTATCACTGGTCTTGCTTCTTTTATTTTCCAGTGGGAAAGCGAGGCACTTGGGACGTGCCCGAGATGGATGATTTGGCACACCCTTGGGACCCTTTCTGAGCTCCACAGCAGGGCTCTCCTCACGGGTCCTGGATGCTCCCAATTCCCCCAATCCCAATGCCCACACCAGCCACTCCTGCATGGTTTTCCCTAGCCAGCAGCCCTGGCTCTGCCTGCTGCAGTGGTGTGGAGCAGATGACTGGACTGTGGACAGGACCACGCACAGCACTGCACTTCAGACAGCTCCTCATGCCCAGGCACACCAGGATCCGGCAGCTCGGGGACAAGGCTTCTGTGGCAGGTATGTGAGAAGCCACCAGCTTATCTTAGCCTGGGGAGAGGCAGATGGAGAAGGGGTACAACCTAGCTGAAATTCAATCTGGGTTCACAGCTCTGGTCTGTTATGGGAAATGTTTGTTAAAAGAACACCAGTGCTGAACAGGGCAGTTGCAAAAGCTGAGCACCCACTGGCAGCCAGGCCCTCCCATGGGTGCTCAGCTCCTGTGTGACCCATGGGCAGTGCTTGGATGGCTTCTGCTGTGGGGCAGAAATGGCAGACAAAGACCCTGGGTGTGCCTATAGGGTGCACCTTATAGAGACTTTTCTCCTCTTGGGCTCTTTTCCTGCTTTTCCTATGTTTCCTGCCCAGCCTGTGCTTGCTGACATGGAGCATGTGTTACCATGATGTGCTTGCTCTTGCTGGCTGCTGGAAAAAGGCAATACTGAGCAGCTGGGACATTCACAGAGATGCTGCTATCTTCCTGAAGAGTTCATTTTCCATATATTTTCTATACTTTGAAATATTAAGGTTGTTGAATTGCTGGAAATGCTCTGCTTGCTCCTCATATGAAAACATGAACATTTAATTCTGAAGAAACGGAATAAAATTTTTTTTCAAGGACTTCTCATCCCTCAAAAGTACAGTGATGTTTCTCAAGCACACTCATAGCAAACCAACCAGAAACTGCCTCTAATTTTGCTTTTTGATAACAGAAATAAATTTTTTAGACACAAGCTTCTCTGTTACTTATGCAACCAGACTCTGAATTCTTTGTTAATGGTCCAGAGCAAAAGATGGAAGCTGACAGAGTAGTAAAATTTATTACACAATGAACTGTGGGTATTTATAGAGATTAATTGCAGGTACAGGCATTTACTCTCATCATGTCACTTGTCCAATTAAAGGAGAGGGTCTGCTCCTTCCAGCCAGCATCTCACACTATCTGCATCAGAACCCTGCTTAGAGGTACCAACAGAGCAGCCCCCCTCTCCAGCAATCACATAAGTTGGTAGCAGATTAGCCTTTATCCAAAAGCAAATCCCCAGAACATGCTGCCTGCTCAAATTTCCACAGCAGCTTAAATTGAACGCTGCATTATTTTTTTGTTTCCTGGTTTTACCTTTCACAGGGACAGTGCACATAGCTTTTTGATAGGCAGATTACACTTAGTGATATGCAATTCTGAAATTAAGCTGGTTTGTGTGATACGTTATTAGGAGTCTCCCAAAGTCCATCCAAATTAAAGGCATTGCATATGAACGTGATATGGTAATATTTCATTTAAATCCTTGAGCCTGTTGTCAGTTTGGGCTGCATGCTTTTTAGCAAGCCAGCAAGAAAAGAACTGGTATTTTCTACTTCTGCTAAACAGACACATACATAAATCAAAACAAGTTGCATACCTTGACATTTCAAGGGAAGTATTATAATTACAGTATTACAATTTTCCCTCTAATTCTCTAGCAGAAAACTGTAACCCTCTAGTGATAGTGTAGTATTGAAGTGTAATGAAGAACATATTGGAAATAATTTTTCATGGTGGTGGGTCACAGACGTTGCTTGACAAATGTTAGATAGAGTTAGTCCAAAATCACATAGAAGCACAGAATAGCTGGGATTGGAAGCAAGCTCTGGAGATCTTTGAGTCCAATCTCCTTACTCAAGAGATCAGGATCACCTAGAGCTGGTTTTACAAGATTGCACACAAGAAGGGTTTCAAAAATGTCCAGTGAAGGAGAATGCGCCATTCTTACAGTAAAGAAGTTTTCCTCATATTCAGAAGGAACTTCCTTTGGGGTTTTTTGTGCCTGTTGCCCCTTGTCCTGTTACTAAGCACCACCGAGAAGCCCAGCTCCATCCTCTTGACACCTCCCTTTATATTCTTACATACATTGATAAAATCCCCTCTCCATCTTCGTCAAGCGAAACCCCAGGTCCAGGTCTCTCAGACCCCTCCTAAGAGATGCTCCAGTCCCCTGGTCATCTTTGGAGCACTGATGCTTGAACTTTAACCACTTGGACCCATCCCATACCTTCTAGACCCCTAACCCATGGGATTCCTCCAAGTAGATCCCTGAAGAGGCCAAAGTTAGCTTTCCTGAAATCCAGGGTTGGGACCCTACTTTTTGCCCCACTTCCTCCACACAGGTTCTTGAACTCCACCACGTCATGGTCACTGCAGCCAAGGCTGCCCCAATCTTCACATCCCAAACCAGTCCTTCTCTCTTCATTAGGACAAAGTGTAGCACCACACCTTTCCATGCTCACTACTCCACTACCTGTAGCAAAAATTGATCACCAGTGCTCTGCAGGACTCTCCTGGACTGTGTGCCCAGCTGTGCTGTCTTTCCAGAAAATACCGGAGTGGTGGAAGAAGGTGGTGAAGGCTTGTGATCATGAGGGTACTTCCAGCTGTCTGGAGAAGGCCTCATTGACTTCTCCTGATCAGGTGGCCAGCAGCAATATTCCAGTTGTGGAAAATTGCCCTGCTCAATGGTTTGTGAGGCAAGAACACTGCTGAGTAGATAATGGGTTTTCAGCAGGTAGCCTTAACACACTTGTTCTGTAGAGGAATCATACCACATTCTCTACCAAGCACGCATAAGAAGGGGAGAAAGAGCAAGATCTATAAGCCTGCACACCTTTGACATGTCAGAAGTTTTTATAGGGTTGTAAAAATATATACTTTTTAATAAGTATTAAAAAAAAAATATCTCCAGTTCACAAACATTAAAATCTGACATGTAGCTAGGAGCTCTTCAGAAGAGCTGCTGAAACCACATGGAGCACAGCTGAAACCACTGTGCTCCATGCAAACTCCTAATAGAAAAGCTCTACATCATCAGGTACTGGAACACAGAGCAGATTTTTGTATTTTTTATCCACTCACTGCTCTGCCCTATTGGCTGACAGCAAGTGTTATTTTTATAATTGCTCCTTGAAGACATCCCACATGAAGCAGCTTTTCCCAGCACAATCTGACATTGTTCCAGCTCTCTCCAGTTCTCTCCAAACAAGTTTCCACTGCAGTCTCCAAGAGCACTGACCTTGCAAACAGTGGGCAGGTCTAATTTAGATTGCAAGAACTAAACTTCAGAAACTGAATATAAGCTGAGAGCTGAAGTTTGTTTTCTGTAAGTAGAAAAAGGAGTATAATCAAAAATACTTACACTCTAATCTCCTAGAGGCTCAAGGCAAAGGTAGACCTGGGACTTCTGCTTTTACATTTAGCTGCTGTGGCATCCTCTGTGTCAGGCTGGCACACAATTTTTTTGTCACCCTGCTGTTACCTGACACATAGATGGTCACTGCTTGTCATTTGTGGGCAAATCCAGCTCAAAGGCACTCACACCTCTATGTGGGCTGTGGGATCCTGCAAGAGCACGTGTAAGCTGAATGAGTCACCTCATCTGGAGGGAAAAAGAAAGTGACCATCACTGGCTTCTACGTTAAATGAAATTTTCTTGCTACAATTTCCATCTTGGTGCAACTCCAGAATGCACATCTATTTTACTTGTCCTTGCTCAATCTATAATGAAGTAGAAATATTTTCCAGTTTATCAGGTGCCTCTGAATTTTAGAGAAGGTGTTGAAAAGCTTCTGCTATTACCCAGTGCACACCTCACCCAGTGCTCTCCCAAGGACAACCAGCTGTGATGCCGCTGCTCAGACCTCAACCACAGAGTGACCTCAGGCTCCCTTCTGGGTCAACCAGCCGCTTATAATAGTTTCAAAGACAAATATTTGCTGCAGTGGCTTATCAACAGCTTATCTCAAAATTGTGTCATGCATCTGACCCACTTTACCCTTTTTTCTTTATAAATTTGTGTTTACAGACTCTTTGATCTACTTGTTACAGACAAGTTTTGCTACATTCTTAAACAGGTATTTCTCTCTCAATGGATCACTGTTCAGACATTTGTAATACTAGTTGGAGCCCAGGGCTACATATCTATTTCTTCAATATTTAAAGCAAAGTAAGAAACAAGACACCAAGGATTACTGACTGGGAAGGCAATAGGAATATGCTGGGGTGTTACATTCCCAGACATACGTAGGAAGCGGCACTGCCATGGATTAGGTTCTTTACCTCTGCTCTGTCATATCAGTGGTATTTCTGTAACTATTTATTTTATTCTGTCATCTTGTCTTTTAAAAAGAGATGTTTTCTCTATTTTAGATTTTTTTAAACATCACCTGAAATGCTTACTAAAAATCAAGCTATTTTGAACAAGCAGGATTCCAATGTTTAAAACAAAATTTAAAACAGCTTAGTTTATAGCACAGAAGACAACACATACACAGTATATTTTTAAAGAGCTAACAGCAGCAGAGAGCAACCCCCTGAGTTAGGCAAAAACGTGCTGACAGCACCATCAAGGTTTCCCTAAACTCCCTCCTCCTGGCATGACCCAGAACCATTCACATCTATCTGCACTAGTGCTCCATCACACCTTTGCATATCTGGGGGGAAAACATTTCACTTTGGGAACACTTTTCCATCAGCTCCAAGCAGAACATTTTATGCCAATACCAAGAACCACAAGGCTCACAATTCAGTGTCCACTGTCCGTGCATGTCAGCCAATGACCACCAGCAGAACTGCATCAAACAAACACAAAACCACGTTCAAACAACTCCAAGTCTGACAATGAAGCTTAACAGCAGAACCATTTCATATACTGGAAAATGTTGGTTCCTTAGCAGAGTTTAAAAATAACCCCAACCTGTAACACAACTTGGTTTCAATCTTTAAAGAGCCTATGAGGAGGAGCAGGGCAGGAGCTGGGCAGTCACACTTGGTCAGTGCAAGGGTCTGCCCAGTCCTCTCTCTTGTACAACAGTGAGCTACAGATGCCTAAGGAAACCCAAGTATGTGAATCATGCAGTACTTCTCTTCAAGTGGGAAGACTGGTAATGCCAGCATACCACAAGTCACAAAAATATTGATCTGAATTATACAGCTATGAGGACATGTGAGTCAGCACTGATAATGAAATTATTTCAATTATTAAGGAGTGTTGGCAAGAAAAATTCTGCCAAGGATTAAAGGCTGCTGATACATGCTAATACTTATAACCACTGAAATATACCTGAAAGAAATGCCATCTCCCATGCTCAACCTCTTGTCTTTAATATACAAAGGCTACTCAATCATTTACCTTCATGTGATGTGGAAAAGGTGGACACTCATCTCATGTCAGTCCCATAGGGGAATTTAAGAAGGCCCATTCCTGAGAAACTGTGACAATTGTCACACCAAGTAAATTATTTTTGTGGTAACAGTGCCTGCAGCATTAGGTCAGAGGTTATTACATAATTTGTTGATACTTCATTCAATCTTTGATAGGAAATCTTAGCACCACCTTCACCAAACATATGCCTTTAGGAGTATGTGAAAAGCCTAAAGGTGAAAGAGATGAAGAAAATTATTTTCAAAACCTCCTTGCCTTTTTTTTCCTATTTGGAAAATGAATTCTCCTAGAACAGCATCCATGCATCTAAAGTTGTTTTGTGTTTCATATTCACTGTCTGCATCAAATTTGTATTAACAAGATCGATAAATACAGCAAATGTCAAAAAATATGTGTAGGAGTATAAGTAAAATTTTATCAATGCTTGGAACACAAAAATAAAGTCTGAAAACAGGTTATTCTGGCTTTAAGAACTTGGCATAAAGATACCAACAATCAGTACAGACTTTTTAATATAAATCCATTTATTCACTGAACTGCTTCACATTATTTGTAGATAATCAGTTTACATCTGGATATGGCAACATGGATACTCAGCAGGTGTACAAAGTCTCTGAAATGCTGCATGCACAGCCTTGCCAGAAATCACTGTTAAAACCTGAAAACACACAGAAATTTGCAAAGTACACAGAATTGAGTTACAGATGCTTTATCTGCTTTTCAAATCCCGACTGTGGAAGCAAGGGAATAAGAGCAAGTAAAATGGCAAGCACAGAGCTGTCACACTGCCCTATCCAAACAAGTAAATTGCAGAAAATTTCCACAAGGGTTCTCCAAATTTCTTCTGATTCAAGCCCCTGCCAAGAGCATTTAATTTTCTTGGACATGAGGTTCATAAAGCTCATCCTATAGCTGGTTAACACTGTATGTTTTATACACTGCAAATATAGCAAAGGCACTAGTCATCCCAGGATTTCTGTCCATTTTCCTGCTCACCTCGTCTCTTTCAATAGCATATCTAGAGATGTAACACAGAGAAGGTCCAGGACATGACAGAATAGAACCCAGACTCTCCAATTCTTGTCCACTCAGCAGACACATTATCCTGAACTCCCCTTACCCACAAGCAACTGACACTGCAAGGGCTTGATGGAGGCAGGATGTAACTATCCACACTGAAATTTGGCCAGGGCTGGAACCAGGCCAAGCAAAATATCCATCTGTTCCTAAAACTTTCATTTTCTGGAGACTGAACGAGAATATTATCTAAATCTTACTAGTCAGAGTGAATGGGGAGCTGCTTTTTAGCTCAAGTGGAAATGCCATGTTTTGCATAGGAGCTCCACGAGTATCCTGTGGGAATGAAAATACAGGATGATCATGGGAAAATTAAAGGACAACACTACTTTTACCACACAAAATCCTTGTGGTTTGGGCATTTTAGACTACTTTGGCAAGAAAGCTGTTTATTATTTCCAGTAATACTTTACACAAGCAGTATATCCATTAGCATATTTTGATCTTGAGAGTACATTTTCACTGACCTAAAAAATATGGCACTCATTTATAAGCTTGAGTTCATTATTAGACCAATGTATTTCAAAATGCATGTTTTTTAAAATCTATTCAAAATGCTGTGTGTATATACATATGCAAAGTTTAAATTGAATGTAACTTGAAACTCTGCCTTAAAAATCGAATCTTCGAAGGAAAGATTTCTGCAATCTGTCCAAGCCTTTTTTTACAAAAGGAAAAACTGTCTCTCCATTGCTGCAGTTCAGATTAAAACACCTACTCTGGTAGATGTTTTTTTAAAAAAACCCTGAAAACACTAACATTTTATAATAGAACTCTGAAGCCATTTAAAATGTTGGACTCTCCAAGTCTGCACAAAAGCATATAACTGAATCTTGTAGTTGGTCATTCATGCAGAGAATCCTTATCCTACCATTGTTAAATTTCAGTCTCTTAACAGC